AAAAAAAAAAAAAAAAAGAAGAAGACCCACAGACATGCAGAAACTAGGGCTGGGAGTGTCAGGTTTGGGGGGGGGACTACCTCTATTACAGTCGTTTTTAGGAGGAGGTAGAACAGGGAGGATGTGGGGCTCAAGAACACAGTCACGTCTTAACACTCCAGTGAATGTTCTTTTTCTGGTTTCTCCTGCAGAGAGGTCATTGCCCTGGTGAACAAGGTCTTGCCGATTTACATCGTCTTTCAGCTCTTCGAGGCCATGTGTGTGAGTACATGAACGTGAAGCCTGACTCCCCTGTGCCAGTCTGTGCTCATGGGCCCTCCCTGAGGCCCCATCAGGCTGCCAGGATTAACTCATTAAACTATGCGAAGTAGGGATGGGGCACCTGGGTGGCTCAGTTGGTTAAAGTCCAACTTCAGCTCAGGTCATGATCTCACGGTTCATGAGTTCAAGCCCCATGTCGGGCTCTGTGCTACATCTCTGGAGCCTGGATCCTGCTTCAGATTCTGTGTCTCCCTCTCTCTCTGCCCCTCCCCTGCTCACGCTCTGTCTCTGTCTCCCTCTAGAATAAACATTAAATAAAAATTTAAAAACACGTACAGGGCTAACTCTACATAAAGGGCCCAATGTATCTGCTTGGATTAATTCTATTATTATTCAAAACAATGACTCCCCTTCTCTTCTGCAATTTCCAACAAGCCAAAACATGCAAACGGATTAGCAAAGAAACCAGAAAAATTACACCAGCATAAACTCACAAATCTTTTTCTTTCCCCGTGCCTCCTGGCTAGCGGAGGCCACAGGCTCTGTGCCATGCCCCCTACTGGTCAGAAGCTCAACAGCAACCCAGAACACAGAGGGACCTGAGTTTTCTGTTCCTTTGACCACTACAGGATGGGTCCCATTTAGTGCAGATGTGGATGATGTGAATTCTAAAGAGCATGACATAGAAACAAGAAAACAGTGAAGTCTCATTTTTTAAAAAATACTTTATTATTTTGAGAGAGCACGCATGGACACGAGTAGGAGAAGGGCAGAGAGAGAGAGAGAGAGAGAGGGAGAGTCCCAAGCAGGCTCTGCATTGTCAGTGCGAAGCCCGATGTGGGGCTCGAACTCAAGAACCTCAAGATCATGACCTGAGCTGAAATTAAGACACTAAACCAACTGACCCACCCAGACACCCCTGAAGTCTCATTTTATTTTTATTTTTTTAATTTTTAAGTTACGTTATTTTGAGAGAGAGAGAGAGACAGAGTACAAGTGGGGGAAGGGCAGAGGAGAGGGAGATACAGAATCCAAAGCAGGCTCCAGGCTCTGAGCTGTCAGCACAGATGCGGGCCTCAAACCCACAAGCCGTGAGATCATGACCTGAGCCGAAGTTGGACACTCAACCGACTGAGCCACCCAGGTGCCCCTCAAGTCTCATTTTAGAAGCCAAATCTGAGCCCTGTCTCTTCTACTTTACATGTTGAGTTCATCAGGACCGCGTCCCTTGCACAAAATCCAATAGCTTGGCCTAGGAGTGTGTGCTTAACGAACACCACAGACCCCCTGCCTTCTAGATGGTTCCTTGCCTGGGGCAAAATCACCTGCTCCGTAATTATCATCAACTCTTATGGGGGAAAAAATGCAACCCATTGAGCAAAATTGTATGTATGGAGGATTCTTCTAAAAGATAGCGTGCTCTAATTCCCTACATATTCTAGAATCTGCCAGGCATTCAGAAAGCTATTATTTGGAGCACCTGCTCTTAGCCTCCAGCACAGGAGCCTCCTCTGGGCTGTGCGTTGTGATTCTATCCAAAGCTTTTATCACAGAACATTAAAAGAAACCATCATATGGAATCCATTACTGCTTTTGGCATAGGATGTTGTTAAGGGCACTATTCACATGTGTGTATTTGCCACAGCTGAGAAATTCTTGCAGTTAAGGGCTGGGAGTGGGACTTCCTCATGGAATTAAGCTTGCCTTTCCTCAGTGGGCAGCCCTTCCGTGTTCCCCAAGAAACTCGAGCAAATGTATTTATTCCTGGGATAAACTCCTCCCGGTCACAGTACAGATCTTGTTTTATCTGTCCCTGAATTTGGTTTGCCAACATTCTGTTAAAGATTTTATGTCTATAATCACGAAGGATATTTGCCTGTTGGTTTTTATCTTTTCTTGGGGATATCTGAGTCTGGCTTTCGTATCAGGGTAACACTAGCCTCACAGAATGATTCTGAAAGTGCCCTCTCAGACTTTCTGAGTTTGTGAAGGATTGGCATTTTTTTTATTAAAAAATTTTTAATGTTTATTTCATTTTGAGAGAGAGCGAGAAAGGACAAGTTGGGGAGGGGCAGAGAGAGAGAGGGAGACACAGAATCCAAAGCAGGCTCCAGGCTCTGAGCTGTCAGCACAGAGCCCGAGGCGGGGCTCGGACTCATGAACTGCGAGATCATGACCTGAGCCAAAGTAGGTTGTTAAACCAACTAAGCCACCCAGGCGCCCCTCCTCTTTAAATATTGGATAGAATTCACCAGTGAAGCCATCTGGGCCTGGGCTTTTGTCAGAAGATTTTAAAATCAGTTCACTTTATTTATTTGTTATAGATCACTTTCTATTTCTTGTTGAGTTACTTTCAGTAATGTGTCTTTCAAGTAACTTATTTACTTCAGCTAAATCCATCTAATTCTTTGGCACCAAGTTGCTCGCAGTATTTCCTTATGATCCTTTCCTTTATGGTCGGTAGTAACGTCCCTTCTTTCACCCCTGATTTCGGTAATTTGCGTCTTCGCCTTCTTATTTTCTTGGTCTTGCCTTACCAAGGTCAAGTCCTTGGCAAATATTCATCCTTTTTGTGGGTATCATCAAAGATCTAGAATTTGGGGTTTCATTGATTTTCTGTTTTTTTCTGTTGTCTATTTCAATAATTCCCCGTCTTATCATTATTCCCATCCTTCTGCTTTATGTAGGTATTGTTTCCTCTTGTTTCTTAACGTGCGATATTAGGCTATGGATTGGAGGCCTTTCTTCTTTTTGGACATAAGCATTTATGACTATACATTTCCAAGTACTGTGTTAGTGACATCTAATAAATCTGATACATTATTTTACTCTTCGTTCAAAATATTTAAACATTTCTCCTGTTATTCTTTCTTTAATGTTTTATTTATTTCTGAGAGAGGGAGAGAGGCAGCGTGAGCAGGAGAGAGGCAGAGAGAGAGGGAGACAGAATCTAAAGCAGGCTCCAGGCTTCGAGCTGTCAGCACAGTGACCGACACGGGACTCAAACCCACGAACCGTGAGGTCATGACCTGAGCCGAAGTCAGATGCAAAACTGACTGAGCCACCCGGGCGCCCCTCCTGTTGTTTATTCTTTGTGTTAACTTCCAAATTCCCATTTTCCTTTCTTGGCCACGTCTCTAACTGAATTCTCTGGTGTGGTTTCGCACAGCCTCATCCCAATGTCGCATGTGACCTTTCCCCGAGGCCTCTTGTTTTATTTAGGAATTTGCCTGGACTCTCTGTGAATCCTGCCTCCTCTATAGCCTGGAGCTGCTTTCCCTACTCGGTTTTGTTCCGTGTGTTTTGTTTACCCTATGTTTATTTTTAGGCTTAGCCTGCTAGGGGTCACACCCCTTTGCACAGCTCAGTGTTCAGGCAGTTACTGGTCGGAGGTTGTGTTCAAACACCTGATAGCCGGGAAGGCTTCCATCCTCTGCCGAAGGATCTGAATGTGCATGTGGGCTCTTTGCCAGGCTGCCCGGCTCTTACTTCCTTCTGGGTTATCCTGCGTCTCTTCTGTCCACGCGCCCAGGCTCCACTGTCTACGACGCATGGGAGGCTCGGGCCTGCTCTGGTCCCCGCTGCGCGTACGCACAGCCTCCGGTCAGCGTGGATTTTATGGAGAACGTATCCCGCTCCCCCTCCCCACAACCGGCTCGTTTCGCCTCCCCGTTAAATCCCTGGCTAGTGCGCCCGTCCACTGCTTCTTCCAGCAGGGCCCACAGCCTTCTGCTCAACCAGCCTCATGGGGCCCTGGCCCTTCCTGTGTTTGCCTCTGAAATTGTCACTGTGACTCAGAATGCTTTAAAGGGCTCCTCAACCTTGGCCTGGTGACACTTCAGGATGGATAATCCTTTGTCGTAAGGGGCTGCCCATGCGCTATAGGGGGTTTAATAGCGTCCATGGCTTCACACCACTCGATGTAGGTAGTGCCCCTGCACTGTGACAACCCAAGACGTCCCCAGACACTGCCAGATGTCCCCTGGGGGGCGAAAATCACCCCGGGGTTGAGATATACTTGTTCAGAGCTCTTCAATCATAACTTGGGAGAAGTCTTTTTCTAACCAAAAAATACCTTCTATGTCACAATATATAATCATGGGAAACAAACACACCACATTTCAGAGTTCAGGAGGCACACATCTCCTGTCCCGAATGTGTTACCTCTTTGCTCGAAAGCGTGAAAGCAAACCACGAGATACTCCACGTCCTTCATCTTTTCTAAAAAAAGTTTATTTTTTATTATTTTATAAAATGTTTATTTTTGAGAGAAACAGAATGCAAGTGGCTTAGGGGCAGTGAGAGAGGGACACACAGAATCTGAAGCAGGCTTCAGGCTCTGAGCCTGACGTGGGGCTCGAACTCACGAACTGTGAGATCATGACCTGAGCTGAAGTCGGACCTTAACCAACTGAGCTACCCAGGCGCCCCAAAAAGTTTATTTATTTTGAGACAGAGAGAGAGCAGGGAAGGGGCAGAGAGAGAGGGAGAGTCCCAAGCAGGCTCAGTGCTGTCAGCGTGGAGCCCGATGTGGGGCTCGAACCCACAAACCACAAGATCATGACTTGAGCCAAAACTAAGAGCCGGATGCTCAACTGACTGAGCCACTCAGGTGCCCCACTCCACATCCTTTATCTTAACAAAATGAAAATAACCAAATAGCTATTTTTCAGTGGCACTGAGCAAGCATGAGTTGTGCCCATCGCTCTTTCTTTCATCGGCTCTGAGATCAGGTGGGGACGAAGAGAATAGAAAAGTGAAGCAGGTAGTGCTTTCTCCAGAGTTGTTCTGGTCTGATCAATACGGGGGCCCAAAGTAATCACAAGGGTTCTCACAGGTGAGAGAGGGAGGCAGGCAGACAGACAGAGGAGGAGACACCTTGACAGCAGCAGAGGGTGGACTGATGCCACCACTGACTGGGGGGGCAGGGAATGCAGGGCGGCCTCCAGAGGCCGAGAAAGGCAAAGACATAGATTCTCCGCAGGGGCCTCCAGAAGGAACCCGCCCATTTCGGAGCGGTGAGACCCATTTCGGGGACTCGTGACCTCCAGGACCAGAAGACAGTACACGTGCCTTGTGCTAAGCCACGGATCTGCAGTGATTTGCCACAGCAGCAGTGCGAAGGCAACACAATGCGACCCTGGGTGACGTGTCCAGCCTCCAGGGCCAGCTGGTGGTCGGCTTCCCGTTTGACTTTGACTTTCTAGAGAGGCAGGCCTAGTGTGCAGGTGAAGACGGGGCCTCCGGAGTTGTGTTCAAGATGCAGCTGCTCTTGTGCACCCTGGGCAAGTGACCTGCCCAGACTCGGTGTCCCCACGGAAGGGAACCAGAGCAACTGCCTTGGGCTGAGAGTGAAAGCAGGCCATGCGACATGGCAAGAGGGCCTGTTGCCGGCTCCGCGCCATCGGCTCACACCCGCCTCTCGCCCCTCCCTGCCTCCCCTCGCAGTGCGTCTATGGCGGAGTTCTGAGAGGAGCCGGCAAGCAGGCCTTCGGAGCCGTCCTGAACACGGTTACGTATTATGCCATCGGCCTCCCGCTGGGCATCGTGCTGACCTTTGTGGTCAGAATGAGAATCATGGGTACGTGCTGCGAGGGGGCGTGGGTGGAGGCCTGGGGGGGCACTCTGTCCCCAGCTGTCACTCGTCTCCCACAGGCCTCTGGCTGGGCATGCTGGCCTGCGGCCTCCTGGGAGCGGCCGCCTTTACTGTCTACACCACCCGGCTGGACTGGAAGCTAGCTGCGGAGGAGGTGAGCGAGCGGTGGCCACTGGCCTGGCCAAACGTGCAGAAATGCCGAGAGCGTGTTGGGCCCCAGCAGCAGTGATCTGTGGGCTGAGCGGGGAGGGTGGGGGTCACGGAGGGGCCCCCTCAGCCTCAACATCTCCTGGCATCGTAACCGGACCCCAGACGGTGCCGGTACACTCTTTAATTTCAAGGAGAGGCGCACACGCCAAAAACCTTCCTCGGCCAGCCCAAGCTGCCGGAAACCAAAGCAAGGAGCTCAAACTAGTCTGAACCTGGACAAGCCCCCGGGTGTGTGTGCCCTGACTTTGGAAGGGGGGGCACCATCATCCTGTTTAACATCCTCTTGGCCGAACATTTTTTTTTTTAATGTTTATTTTTGAGACAGACAGAGCACAAGCGGGGGAAGGGCAGAGAGAGAAGAGTCACAGAATCTGAAAGGCTCCAGGCTCCGAGCTGATATCACAGAGCCCGTCACAGGGCTCGAACCCACGAACCAGGAGATCACGACCTGAGCCAAAGTCAGAAGCTTAACTGACTGAGCCACCCAGGCGCCCCTTGGCTGAACTTTTTATTTTTAAAAATTTTTTAAATGTTTTATTTATTTTTGAGAGAGAGAGACAGCGTGAGCAGGGGAGGGTCAGAGAGAGAGGGAGACACAAAATCTGAAGCAGGCTCCAGGCTCTGAGCTAGCTGTCTGCACAGAGACGATGCGGGGCTCAAACCCACGAACCGTGAGGTCATGACCTGAGCCAAAGTCAGATGCTCAACCGACTGAGCCACCTAGGCGCCCCTTGGCCGAACTTTTTAAACAGTCCAGGTCAGCGTCTGCTTCTCAGCTCAGTTTGAAGGCAGAGACGGGGGCGGGGGTACTCTCAAAGACCCCGAATCTGCTCTTTTAGGCCCAGAAACACGCAGGGCTGCTGCCGCAGAGCACTGACGGCATGGTGGCCACGGTGACCACAGTCCCCCGACCCGGGCCTGTAGAAGCCGTCACATCTTCAGGTAAGGTCTCAGTGCTTCTGCTGGGCAGGCACCAATGCCGGTGGCAAACTGTTCCCGGCTGCCCTGCGTGCCCTGGGCAAGTGCAAGTCCAAGTCCAAGTCCAAGCTGCCAGAGCTCCTCTTGGCACGAACACGGAGTCCTAAGTGCCAGGAAGAGGACACTGCCACATGACTCAACCAGGCCCGTGTGAGGCACCTCACATCCTTAGCCTTGTGAGGCAGCGAGCTGTAGCCCCGTTCTCGGATGAGGAAGCCGGGCTAAGGGCTTAGGTCTCTTCCCCTACGATGGTCCCACAACTGGAAGAGGGGACACGATCCCAGCACGGGCCCGTCGGGCTGGAGAGTGCGTTCTCACCACCGAAGCCCAGCCCGGCCCACAAGGCCACATCCCGGCCTACAGCAGCTGGGCCCGGGCAGGTTGGCCTGGCTGGCCCGGGTGGTGGGGGCACCCCCCCCCCCCCGCTGTCCTCTCTGCACCCCAGCAGACAGGCGGGCACCTCCGCTGTCAATCCAGTGTCTCTGTGCTGCGGCGATGGCCTCGGCCCGGGGCACAGGCGCCCTCCTGTCCCGGGCTGGTGAGGAGCGCCAGGCGTGCGTCTTCACAGCCCAGAGCCCTGGCTTCTCTGGGTGACCTCATCTCCCCCTGGGCTCTGCCGTCACCAGCGCCGTAGTGAGCCAGCTGACGAAAGCTCCGGGTAGCGTGTCACGAGACACCACGGTGAGGTCCGACCCCTACACGTTTAGGATGTGCTCTGAAGGCACGTGTGGGACTTACCCTCTGTCACGTGTCGTCGCGGGGCTCAGACAGGAACGTGCCTCCCGCGAGCTCACCGGCAGCTTTACCCCTGCATCAGGCTCACGTGTGTCAGCGGTTTTCCCACATCACGTCACACAGCACGACAGAGGCAGCCGGGCTTCCTGGTTCCGAGGCCGCGGCTCTCTCCAGGCCCCGCACCGCTGACCTTGCTCTCGTTTGCCTCTGCAGTGGCCACGGGTGGCTCTCCCGGCATCACCCTGACGACGTACTCGAGGCCTGAGGGCCACCAAGAGCTCTTCAGGACTCCGGAGGTGGCCCAGGCCCTTTCGGCTCCGGCCAGCAGACTGTCAGCCAGCCAGCTGGCCATGCGCCGCGGGGCGGCTCTGGGGGTGGCGTCAGCCACGCTGACAGCGGGGCTGGTCATCCGGGTCCTGGCCTCCAGACACTAGGGAGCAGCCCGGAGACGGGAAGGCCATCAGGAGTGGCCGCGCCCCCGGGCCTCCACACCGGTCCCCCGACAGCGCCCTGGGGACCCAGTGTGGGTGGACGTACACTTTGGACCGCACCTCAAAAACGAGACCTGCAGCCTGCGCCTCGCGTGACCGGACGGTTCTGTCAAACTGGCCTTCTCTTCTCTGCTCTTTAAGAGGATGTCAGCCGACCGGAGAGGGCCGGTCCCGGGGCTGCCCTTCCTGGTCAGTGATGTGAGTGATGAAATCGGGAGATTTCAAATCGAAACACTATCAGAAAAGCCAGTCACCCAATTAAAAATTACGTATTTCCAGGCGAGTCTGCTGCCCCGCACGGGCGGCCCACTTCGCCGCGCCCCCCACGGGCCCCTGCAGACCTGGGTGCTGGGAAACCCCGCAGGGCCAGGTGCTGTCCGGCTGTCCACAGAGCCCGTGTTCCATCAGCCCTGTGCCGACCACAGGCCTTGAGAAAGGCTTGTTCGTACAGCAGCGACACGATAGACCCACCACTCGCTCGGCCACGCGGCCTCGGGACGAAATGCAACACCGACCCAAGTTCTAGGCTGCTTTTCTTTGACGCCTGGGACGGCCAGACCCCACGCCGAATCAGGCCGCACGCGGTCATCCGAAGCGGAGGCAGTGTGGCCTCCGCTGCCACAGTCCCTTGGGCCATCAGTGGCTCTACGCACATTCACAAACAAAATGATCAAAGCCAATTTAAAAAAAAAAGACACACAGAATGTAATCCCTGTTTGAAGAGTCAACATGAATTCATGTCATGTTCAGAACCTGGCGAGAGTCCGGGCCTCTTGCTCCCAGGGAGGCAGAGGCGGATACAAATTTGTCCGTGACACAAATACCTTAGTGTGCTTCTGACGACCGAATGGAATGACTGAGAACAGGGCACAGAGAAGCAGTGTCGCTTCCTCAAACGTGTTCTAAGGTTAAAACCTTATCGAGAGAAAAGGGTGCCACAGTCAAGGAAGTTTGGGAAACGACCCACACTCAACGGCACATGGATTCTATGGGCCTCGGATCTTTGAGATGCTGGTGTGCTTTATGAATCCTGCCACCCAGGATGGGTGTGGGATCAATTTCTGCGTAAACCCTACGGGATTCGTGTTCCGGGAGCACCTCACAGAAACCCTTGTTTTAGATTGGCAAATGGGGATAGAAGGGCAGAGCTGGAAAAACCCTATTTAACTATATGGCTATTTAAAAAAATAAAAACCCACAAGTGACAGAAAGCAGAGCCTTAGAAAATCTTCTCGGTCGGGGCGCCTGGGTGGCTTAGTCGGTTAAGCGTCCAGCTTTCGCTTAGGTCATGATCTCGCGGTTCATGGGTTCGAGCCCCGCGTCGGGCTCTGTGCTGCCAGCTCAGAGCCTAGAGCCTGTTTCAGTCTGTGACTCCCTCTCTATCTGACCCTCCCCTGCTCACGCTCTCTCTCTCTCTCTCTCCTAGAAATAAAAAATAAAAATATATTTAAAAAAAAAAAATCTTCTCAGTTAAGAGTTTCAGTGAAAAGGCAGGACTTAAGGAAAACTGATCAATACCACCCCTAAACAGATAAAGGCAAAAAACGGATTTATAGTTGGGGCAACATTTATGGCCAAAGAACGGTCTCTAACAGGACAGAAGAGGTTCCCTACTAGGAATGTTATTAAAATTCATGCCAGTTTTATCAAATATAATGTATTTATTTTGAAACAGAGCATACTAATAGACAAGCCAGTAGTTTAGCTTAACTAGAAATCGCAGTGCACAATTTAATATGCTAAATGACATCTCTGTATTGAAATTTTGGCTACCGTATTTCGTCACCGATTATCCTGACACCTTAAACCAGTCTAGCGATTAAGTGTTGACACCACAGCCAGTGACGAAGGTGGTGAACTTCAGACGGCCACCCTGGAACAAACTCATTCAACAAAGCTGACTCTGTAAAGTGAATTACATTCTCTCGTCGTGTGGGGGCGGGGAGGGTGGAGGCGCTGTAGCTGCTGCCCGGCAGGGAGGCCGCGTTCCACAGGGCTCCTTCCCACCTTGGCCGAAGTCCCTCAGGTCTCAGCCCTCGGCCATGCTCAGGAGACCCCCTTCCTGTGTCCTCCGTCCCCCTCTTCCGGCAGGGCGCCGGGGCTTACAGAGTCCTTCTCCAGACGGTCCCCCCGCGGCCCCCCTGGGGCTCTCAAGCTCCACACTCCTGGATATCCAAGGCCTCTTGTCCGTGACAGGCAATGGCTTTCCACGTTAAGTCCTGAAGGCTGAATTTATTCAGAAAGGGGTCTCTCTGAAGTTTAAAAAAGTGAAATTTATTTGCATCGTGCTATGGAAGTAAAAAACCTAAAGATCTGTCCTTGAAGATCCACTGACTTGAAACTTTAAGATCCTGAGAGAGAGTACGTGTTGTTACAAGACATTTTATCACAGCATAAAAGAAGTGCCCGTTAGGTTTTATAAGATGCAGAATTCTACAGCTCCTGCCCAGTAAGAATGACGGGTGATACTCACATGGAAATTGGCAACTGTCTTCCCCGGAAGGCCTGGGATTTACGGGATGTTTTCTGTGGCATTAGTTACACAAGGCATTTGCAGACAGTCACAAACGACTGTCACAAGCCAAACACAAGGGAGGGTGGAGAGTGGACGGGGAAAAGGAAGAGGGTCACTGGTCAGAGAGCATGTCTGACAGGAGGGCTGGCTCCTGAAGGTCAAGTCCTCAAGTCCCCGTGATGAGGCACAGGGACGTCCCCTCTCCCCAAACACACAGATCTAGTGCCTCAAACCTCAAGCCGAGCTGGGAAGGTCCGTCCTCCCCCCTGCGGGCTGCAGAGGGCTGTGGATAACCCCGTGCAGGGAGGAGCCCCTTGGAGAAGCTTCACAGAGTGATGGCGAAAGGCAGCACAGGTGGGGGTGGGGTGTCCTGTGTCCCATGAACTGAAGAAGTCACTCGACAGGTTTGGAGACCCCTGTTTACATCCCCAGGGAGTCGGCCTGGCATGTCCTCCACCCACTGGACCAGAACTCTACGAGTTGGGGAACACAAGGCAAAACAGGTTCTCTGAGCGGGGGCCCCCCACCGTGGGGGAAGACGGGGGGTCAGCTGAAACGGCAAGTTTTATTAATGGTGAGTCGCAAGGACTGTTAGGTTTGATTAGGATGCATTTGCATATTTCCTTACTATTTCTGGAGAATTTTAAAACGATTGGTTCGTTAATTATTTAAGAGAGAGAGAATTCAGTACAGGAAACTAGGAGGTTGAACAGGCTCTTTCTTCAGTAGTATCCGGCCTAGAGAGAGGAGAAAGGGAGCCAGGTTACTCTGCTGGCCTAACACCCCCACCCAGCCGACCCTGGAACATGAACTGGGATTCCCCCAAATGGCTGGTGTTTTCAGAGACGCTAAATGCGCTGTATACAAGCGGCCCCTGTGGCCCTCAGAAGGGAAGTGTGGTCCGGGCTGAGGATAAGAGGCTAGGCCTTCCCGGCAAAGTGACAATGACAAGGCAGGTGGCGACGGAGGTGGCATTGTCTGGTCTCCGTGAGACGACAGCAGGAGTGGAAAATACTCCTTCACTGGCCTCCTGTCGTGCGCGGGAGCTGAAGTCTCTACGTGAAGTCTGAAAACTGATGGACAGTTTTGTTTCTAAAGTGCAAAGAAGTCCTGAATCGAATCCATATCTACTGAGCCCGAAGGACTTCGGGTAGCCGTCCCAGAGTTCACATCCTATTTCATTTTCAAGGGCCTAACGATATCAATTTTTCAACGTTTGAAAGCCCACACCTCCTGCAAGGCTCTGAGTAGCTTATGTTAAGCTTTATTGGAACTTTACTTTGTGTAGATGTGTATGTCGATGTGTAGACACACACACAAACACACACACGCACACACACACGTATGTATCTTTTAAATGTTTTTGGAACACTCCTCTCCACTCTGAGATTCTGACTTTGTTCCCTTGAGAACAAAAAAATCACGACTTTCAATTTCCCATTTAAAAATGTCCCGAGCCCATCCTCACTGTGGTGAAGTGAGTTAATGAAATCACATCCAACCATCTAACAGATTTACTGAGCGCGGAAAAGCCGTTTTCAGAAGAAAATTATTTCAGTTGCACTAAATAAGGACTCCTCCGATAAAAGCACAATCTGGGCTTAGAATCACTTAAAAGGTGATTTGAGAAAACGAGGACAGAAGCTCAGAGAGAAGCGCTGAGAAGCAGCAAAGAGGACAAGAAAGCCAAATCCTGAGCGGTCGGGCGCCGAAGCCGAAGCGGTGTGGCGCTGAACACATCAGCTCACGGGGACGGGGACGGGGACGGGGACGGAGGGGCGGCCTGGGAGTCCGCTGCCCGCTGCCCTCGTTCCAGGCGGGCCCAGAAAGGGCCTTCCTCAGAGTCAGAAATCTGCTGATCTCAGAACTACAGCCGCATTTTCTTGTTCCCGGAGCCGTGTGATTACACGCTCCCGCTGCTCTAGACCTTAGCAGAGGGAGGCCTGTCTGCAAACCCTTTTGGGGCGTTCATGCGGGCCACCTGGCCTGCGCCCGCCTGTCTGGCCCAATGCGCCGCGGCGGTGGGAGCCCTCCGGGGTTACATGGGGGGCACAGTCGGCCTGGCCCTCCAAATTTCCATGGCGCTAAGAACTTCGATCCCCCAGCAAGAAGATGCGTATCAGGCTGGGGGCTGTCGTCCTGGACAGGAGAAGACAGGCAGATAATGACGAGACAGCCAAGTACACCCAGGCCTCAGGAAGATGCAGAGGGAGGAGCAGAGCTTCCCAGCCGCACACAACGTTTGATTCGCTCAGTCTGCCACCATGAATTCTGAAGTCAAACTTCTTGTTAAACACCGAAGCAACTTGGAACAAAACGTGACTCCGAGAGTTTAGGAGCTAGGCCTCAAATCTTAAAACAGGGAGTTCGCTGTGTACGTGTGCGTCTTACAGATCTGAGTCGGTCAGCTGGCTCGTCTTCTGGGAGAGCGGAGTGGATGGGGAGGAGGGTGGAGGGGCGCACGTGACTCTTTCTAGAAATGACACACACTCTATCTAGACCCAGCAGAGGCTCTGGTACCTCCACATGGTTTTTAAGATCCCCACAAACAACCCCTCTCTTTCAACAGCAGGACTGAGTCAAGTTTTAACGCTCTGAGGCTCTGGGCCGAGCTCCACAATGTCCGGACACAGACAAGGTGAAACGTCTTCTCAAAGACCCCTAAGCCTCTCGCTGTAGACAAACCGCTCCAAGAAAGCATACCCCAACCTGGCCCACCTTACGGAGAGAGAGAAAACAAGGGGTTCCTACCTCGCCCTTAACAGACGGGGCTGGGGTCCTGAGATCTGGGGTTCGTCACTGCTAGCTGGGCGGCAGAAAAATCAACAAGGCCTTTCTCCTCAGCGCGGCTTGGTTTCTCTGAGAAAACCCAAATGATTTCAAATGCAACCGGTCTTTCCAGGTCCACCAAAGCTGCGACACTTCCGTGAGACAAGCCAATCCCCCTTTTGGACCGTGAGACAAAAACACAGACGTGAACGCAGCTGTCTTCTACTAAGTGCTCTAATCTCGCCTCTTCCGAGGCTGCAGGCCACGCGAGCTGCCGCTATTTCCAACGCATCTGGTCAGCCGGCTGGCCGAGGGCTCCAGGGGGGCGGTCACCCTGCCCTGCTCCGCCTTAATTTCCGAAACCCTGGCTCTGTTCCCTCGGCCCAAGGGCAGGTGGCCGGCCTGGGGACGCCAGCTCTCAGGAGGGCCGGTCGGTGAGCCTGCATCTATGATCACTGATCACCGAAGACAGAATGTACATGGCAGTCAACTCGGGAGGAAACACACTCGCACCTCGCTTGCCACACTTGTCCAGTCCACCACTGCTACTGCCCAACGCACAATTCTCTCCTTTGTCTCCCCGGCCCCTGGCCCCAGGCACACTCGAGAACACGACTGACAGTGACGTATGGGTGGCAGAAGGATCAGAGGGCTGGGCAGCTCAGAAAGCGGCCAGCAAGTTCTTCGGGGCCTTAAACTTTTTTTTACTTTATTCTTGAGAGAGAGAGTGCGAGCGCGGGGTGGGCAGAGATAGAGACAGAGACAGAGGCAGAATCTGAAGCAGGTTATATAGGCTCTGAGCTGTCAAGCACAGAGCTCGACACGGGGCTTGAACGCACAAACCGCGAGATCATGACCCAAGCTCAAGTCACTCAACCGACTGAGCCACCCAGGCGCCCCTGCTCTTAAAACTCTTAGACCAGAGGTTGGCAGGCTTCTGGAATCATTCCGGCACCACAGGCCACATCTGTCGCAAGTACTCCACTCCGGCTACGCTCAGTCAGCGAGGGGTTGGGGCCGTCCCTCTGGAAAGACGCCGGCAGGCTGCAAGCCCGCAGACCCGGTCTCACACTCTGAAGGTTAACTTAAGAGACGGAGTCGGTTTCTAAAATCAAGGAACACCCGAGACAGAAGAGGTGCCTCTGGCAGCCAACCGGGACCAGACACATGGGGACTCACCTTGAGAAGCACAGCCGCCACGATGCCCAGGAAAGCGAGGAACAGGAGACCGAACTTTCCTCTGTTGAAGCGTTTCAGGAGGAAAAATTTGGCCCAGTCCACCTTTGACTGGCTGTTGGGAGGGTACCTGAGCTTGTTAGCACTTTCTCTCTTTAAACTTTTCAGTAAGCAGGGACGCTGATGCGAAAAAGTATCAAAACTGTGTCTGCCGTGATAAGCTCCCATCCCACTGGACCCTGAAACAGAGGAAGACAAAATGCGCTCCGCTGGAGGGGACACACGCCGCTTGTGTGTGTGAACACGGATGGAGGAAACCCACAACGCTCCCCGCCGCCGGGGACGCCCCATCTAACTTCTCCGCGTGCGAGGCTCTTGCAGGAAATTCCTCCCACTGCTCCCAGCAAGGTGAGTCTCCCTGTCAAACCGGATGCTCTCTGGGGCGCCGGGCGGCTCAGTCAGTTAAGCGTCTGACTCTTGGTTTCAGCTCAGGTCATGACCTCACAGTTCATGGGATCGAGTGTGGCGTTGGGCTCTGTGCTGACGGTGCAGAGCCCACCTGGGATTCTCTCCCCCCCGCTCTCTCTCTGCTCCTACCTCATGCATGCTCTCAAAATATATTAAAAAAAAAAAAAAACCAGGACGCTTTCCAAGATTCGGGCCAGGACCTGGAACCCCCTGGCCAGTGGCTCTCACTGCTACCCGGGACCACTCTATGCTCATTCCCGCCCCGACCCCACTGTACAGTCATCGCTGTCCCAGCTGCAGGGAGGGCAAGGGGCTCGGTAGCGCCAGTAACCTGCCCAAGGCGGCGAGTGCAGAGCCGGAATGTGAATCCAGGTCAGCGGGACCCACAAGCGCCATGTGCTCTTTTCCTCCTGTGCCACGTGGCTTCATGTACCCACAGCCCTGATTTCGCCCCCTTGCGTCCTCAAGGATCCCAGAAAGTAACGAAGGCAAGGTGACAGGGTTACACTGCTGGGTGACAAATGAGAAGCAAGTGTAAAGCTCCCCCCTCTACGAGAGCCGTGCTCTGTGAGAATTTCCGTGTCTCATCGTGTGTGCTGGGTGGCTACGTGTGTACAGCAGGTGACACGAGGCACAGGCGAACGGGGCCAGAATGCAGTTTACTGGTGCTTTATAAGCTGCTGGTGCGTCATTTAGGGGACAACTGAAGCTACGGAGAAATCTGGCAACATGCATCAAAAGACATGCATTTTTAAGGAAAAACCTGAAACTGTCAATATATTAACAGTGTTTATGCCTGGGGGCGCCTGGGGGGCTCAGCTGGTTAAGTGTCCGACTCTTGGTTTCAGCTCAGGTCTTGATCTCGCTGTTCCTGAGTTCAAGCCCCATGTCGGGCTCTGTGCTAACAGTGCGGAGCCTGCTTGGGGTTCTCTCCCTCCTCCTCTCTCCGCCCTCCCCCACTCTTGCTCCTGGACTCTCTCAAAATAAACAAATTTAACAGCTTCACTGGGAAAACCTTCCGCCCATGTTCTCTAGAACACAGGGAGTCTCATGTCTTCTCAAATCAGGAGACAAATGGAGGAGAGGCTAGTCCCCCACACAGAAGGCTGGGGAGCGGTGCAGGTGTGGACTGAGGACTACTTAAGCAGTCCCTGAGCAGAGAGCAAAGGGACATCAGAAACCCCAGACTGCTGCCTGCTCTCGGCATTCAGAGTCTGTCATTCACGACCTCATTTTCAAAAAGACAGATGGAGGGGCGCCTGGGTGGCTCAGTCGGTTAAGAATCCAACTTCAGGGGCGCCTGGGTGGCTTAGTCGGCTAAGCGTCCAACTTTCGCTTAGGTCATGATCTCACGGTTCGTGGGTTCGGGCCCCGCGTCGGGCTCTGTGCTGACTGCCAGCTCAGAGCCTGGAGCCTATTTCAGAGTCTGTGTCTCCCTCTCCCTCTGACCCTCCCCTGCTCATGCTGTCTCTCTCTCCTAGAAATAAATATATATATATATTTATTTTATGTATATATATATATACATAAAAAAAAGAATCCAACTTCAGCTCAGGTCATGACCTCACGGTTCTTGAGTTCAAGCCCTCGTCAGGCTCTGTGCTGAGCCCAGCACTCAGCTTGAAGCTCAAAGCCTGGAGCCTGCTATGGATTCTGTGTCTCCCTCTCTCTCTGCCCCTCCCCCATTCACACTCTCTCTCTCTCAATTAGAGAGCTGACTTCCGGCCAAGAAAAAAATCCCCTAAATCTAGGAGAAGGACAATAACTAAGAACCAATATAGGAGTACATCAGTAAAAGGAAGAAAACAGTTACAGACTGTGGTGGGTGCTAAGGATGGAAAGTGGGGGACAGGACAGAGAGTCACCCCTCGGCAGGGGGCCTGGTGGGGTGGCAGGAAGAAGGCTGCTGTCACACCATCAAGCAGAGGCCCGCGGAGCGCCTGGACAGGTGATTCGACTTGAAATCAACGCCAGGCACGGCGAGAGGATCACTCACCTACTCCCCCGAAGGGTAAAGAACTGAGCGTGAAGTGCATGATAACGTCGTTGGCCGTGACACCACCGCTGGACGTGCTGTCGATCATCCGTCTGATGAGCTGTGCAACAGAACAAGGGCTCCGGGTCAGCAGCGTCCGGGGGGCCCGACCATGCTGCCTGCAAGCTGTTCGGGTTCAGGACACCGCACCAAACGTTTCATAGAACATAAACAACCTAACGGGCTCTTCAATTTAGCAAATGTGATCATTATCTTAATTTCTTAGATGCGTATCTAGTCCTTCGAGGGAGACCGCTCTGAACTGGTCCTGCTTTCACTCCATCACCGCCGAGAGCCAGACTACCCAACGGAGCCACAACAGCCTTTGTTTAGAGCGACAGTTCAGGGCCGCCTGAGTGTTCAGCTGGCTAAGCGGCCGACTCTTAGTTCCGGCCTGGGTCGAGATCTTATGGCTCACGGGTTCGGGCTCACCGTCGGGCTCTGTGCTCCCAGAGCGAAGCCTGCTTCGGATCCTGTCTCCCTCTCTCTACCCATCCCCTCCTCAAAGATAAATAAATGTTAAAGGAAAAAAAGGAAAGGACAGTTCAGACTACATTCTGGTTTTTAAAAATCAGTAAGATTTCCCTTTGTCCTAAATGACGGCATATAATTAATAGATGCCATTTAGTTTGCAAAGCATATTTAAGGCTGCAGAGTTGGGACACCGGGATGCCTCAGTCAGTTGGGCGTCCGACTTCCACTCAGGTCACGACCTCACGGTTCATGAGTTCCAGCCCCAGCTCAGAGCCTGCAGCCTGCTTCGGATTCTGTCTCTCTCTGTCTCTCCCCAACTCATACTCTATACCCCTCTCTCTCTCTCTCAAAAATAAATAAACATTAAAAAAAAAAAAAAAGATGGCAGAGTTGGTATTCTAGTTTTGAGGAGATGGTGGGCCTGAGCCCAGAACAGGCATGACAACACCTGACTGGGAAACTTCACCTCGCTGCCTCAGTGACTCTCACCAACAAGTGCCTGAGAGTTCTAGAACGAATGTCACAGCGGACTCTGGTCACCACAGGTGACCCCACTGTGGGAAGAGCACCTCGCTGACTTGCACCCTGGCCAGTAGACTTTCTGCTTCAAGGTTCCTGTCCATGTTACCTACGGTCCTTTAAAACATCATGACCATCGTCAATAACCCACTTTTTACTGAGCCCCACGCATCTAATCTCACTTCACAGAGCTGCGTCTCCACAGCACAACAGGCTCTAAAACCTGCCATGAGACGCTCTCCTAAAAACACCGGGTTTGCAAACTCCTCAGACCTTTGCAAACTCCCATCCCGTCTCCCCTTTCTAGATTTCCCTTTTCTCCAGAGGGCTCCTGCACCTTCTTGCCCACGTGGAGACCACCGTCCCTTGGCAAGAGCTCGTCCCCTCCTGATGCAGATGAACGGGCCGCGTGGCAAGGCAGCTGGCCCTGGCTACGGGGTGACGCGCTCACTGCACCGGTGTGGTCCCGCTGCCGTAACAGCCAGGGAAACCCCTGGGAAGACCGAAGTGTAAACTTTGCAACCATCCCACGGCCATGCCAGAGACCATGGCGCCACACGGCCTGGCGGCGGGGGCCAGCGGGGGAAGAGAGAAAGCTCTCACAGGGGAATGCCCTGCGGGTTCATGGCAGAAAAGCTTCTCTGGCTGGCAACCAAGAGCCTTCCAATTACAGGGGAGATGTTTGCGAGTCAAAGAACTTGTGACACAGCCCCGAGGCCTCTGGTCAAACCCTAGGGAGTATGGGAAAGGTTACAGCAATAACCCCAGGGCCTCGTTACCCCAGATGGCAGTGTGGGAGTACAGCCTCACTCGGCAGACTGTTTGCTCTGTGGCAAGGGAGGAACACGGCCTGCGGTAGCAGCTTCCGCCAGGGAGCTGTTCTCCACAAGTTTACCTTGTCATTATGAGAAAAGACATAGAAGGCCAGAGGCTTTTCACGGTCGTTTATGAACTTGATGGCTTCATCAGCATCCCTCACAGGCACTATTGGAAGAATCGGTCCGAAAATTTCTTCCTGCATCACCTTGGTGTTGGGGTCGACGTCGGTGAGGACTGTTGGCGCTGGAAAAAGAAAGCAGCAAGATGAAATCCTAGAGCAGAATACAGGAATGCCGACCTCTGGTCCTGCGTTTGTTTCGCCGGGTCACCTACATCCACCCCCCTCCCCATCCTGCCCAAGGACCGGCTACTGAGAAGACGGATCCGTGCACGCCTGTGGATGACCCGTGCACGTGTCCCCGAGCGTGTGCATCAGGGGTGCCCACGCAAACCAAGAGAAAGCCACACACACCTGAGGATACCCATACTCCAGCCTGTGTACAGCCATAGGCCTATGCACCCGGAGGTTATGTTTCCACCTTTCTGTGGACAGGCCTTTTTGGGAGTGTAGACAGCCCCTCTGCGGATCAAATCAACACCACTTCTTAATTCAAGGGTTTTCACACTTATGATCTTGCTGACCTTATTTCCACTCTGTTGGGGAGGTTACAAAAACGTATTTAAAACGGTGAGGACTTCCCAAGTTCAGTGCTCCAGCCACTATGCGGAAAGGACACAAGGAGAGAGGGCCACACGGATGCCGACGAAGCTCTGCAGGGTGTCCCGGCGTCCGCTCCAGGTCAGCCCCAAAGAGCAGCGCTCCAAGACGCTGTACACAAGCTGGGTTGGTGACCAAGAGAGAGGACACTTGACAATAACAAGCGTGTCCTCCTCGTTTCCCCCTCATTCCCTACGAGGATATCCTGGCGGCATGGCAGGAGACGGCTCTTGCCAGCACCTTCCAGGGGGCCCTGTGCTGCTACCCCAATCCGCTGCCCGCTGCTTCCCGGCCTCAGAGAACCGTCTCGGTTTGGCTGTCTACCCTCCACAGAGTCAGGTGCTCCGTGAGGTGACCCCAACGCCAGGTCACGGGGAGGTTCCGAACTGCCTGAGCCAATCACAACAGACCTTTCTTCCTGCCACTGACCGTCCCGGGAGTGGGCGGAGTCACCGACTGATGGGAAAAAAGAAAGATAAAAGGACTGGGGACTGTGAGGCCATTACTAAGCCGTCCACTGAACAGGCCAGACAGGCTTTGGGATGCCTCATGATGAGGGAAGGTATTTCTCCTTATTGTTTTAAGTCCTTTAAGGTTTTGAGGTTTTCTGGTCCGTGCAACATCCGACCTGATAAGAGGGGATAAGTAATGCCACTTGGGGCAGCTTTTTTTGCCAAGTAAGTGTGTCTGTTATTCCCCTGTCCTCTTGGGTTATTTTCGAGCAACATATTTAAAATTCAACAGCAACAGGGGCGCCTGGGTGGCTCAGTCTGTGGAGCGTCTGACTTCAGCTCAGGTCATGATCTTGCAGTTCATGAGTTCGAGCCCCGCATCGGCCTCTGTGCTGACAGCTCAGAGCCTGAAGCCTGCTTCAGGTTCTGTGTCTCCATCTCTCTCTGCCCCTCCCCTGCTCACACTCGGTCTTTCTCAAAAATAAACATTAAAAGATTTTTTTTTTTTAAAGTAAACTGTATTTTTTTTTTTAATTTATTTCTAGGAGAGAGAGAGAGAGAGAGAGAGAGACAGCGTGAGCAGGGGAGGGTCAGAGAGAGAGGGAGTCACAGACCGAAACAGGCTCCAGGCTCCGAGCTGGCAGTCAGCACAGAGTCCGACGCGGGGCTCAAACCCACGAACCGCGAGATCATGACCCAAGTGAAAGTCGGACACTTAGCCGACTAAGCCACCCAGGCGCCCCTAAAAAATTTTTTTAATAAAATAAAATTCAACAGCAATACATATTCATGGCAAAGAACAAAAAAACACAAAAAAAGTAAAGGAGTAAAGTCCAGCACAGCAGGTGCACACATTATTTCTGCACTTGATCTTAGCCAAAAGGCCGAGAAGCCATTCAACACATTATTTCTGGAAAAGAACTGCCACTAGTTACTCAGGGAAATGCAGTTAAGTGATTTCCTTCTCAGTGCCATTTTCCTGGCCAGAATCTGGAAACAATCACGTGGGAGTTCTGTTTTGCTTCTCAGGGTTGTTAGGTTACAAGTTGTAGGAAGAAAACCAACCGACAAAAAAAAAATAGAGGAGACATATAGAGGCAAAAAGTCAGTGCATCTCAGGGGGTGTTGTTTATGAAGATTTAAAACCCTCCGGACACGGCTCCGAAAGCAGGTACCAGACCATGTCCGTAATCCCTTATTAGACAGTACGTATCTCAGGGTTTACTCAGGATGGGTAAAGAGCATCAACGGAAACTGTCAAACTGCAAAAGGTGAATTCGTGTTACCTATGTAGCGCGTGGCCTCGTCGGTCTCACCACCGAAGGCTATCTTTTGTCCTTCAAGCAAACTCTGGACCCTCTTAAAATGACGCAGATTGACGATCCTTTCGTAATCAGGGGATTCTTTTATATTTTCTCCATAAAATTCCTATTTAAAACAACAGTATTTAATCGCTACAAAAGACCCACATTCAGGGTCCTTAGTAACTACGAGACCCACTCGTGCCCCCCAAGCCAGTCTGGTTTTATATCCTCACCCGCCCCCCTCACGTAATAGTCTCTAAGCTATTGGGCAGGTCGAGGACAGGAGTTACACCATACACGACAGGCCTCAGGGTCACGTTGAGACCTCAGAACAACGGAGTCACAGTCTTTGGAAGGTGAGGACCAGAAACTTTTCGTTAATTAAAGGGCTCCCTGTTGAGCCTCAGTTCCGAACCAGAACATAAACCCCCCAAGGCAGGCAGAGGCGACCTTACTCCTCTGAAACCGACTTCACCTCCACACTCAGCTCAGCGCATCTTCTCCCATCTCCCCGCGCTTTCTCTCCCATAGCTATGCTGAGCCCCACACTGCCGCCCCGCAGTCCATGGTCTCCTTGTCCGGCCCCATCTCCGGTCCTAGCTCTCACGCCCAAGTCCCTCACGTCTGGGTCACTATTCTTCTGAACTCCCCACAGAGACTTCCCATTGTCCGATCACGTGTTACTCTGCGGTGTTCCCGACCCTTCCTTCCAGTGTTCAATCAGCATCTGTTGAGTGAACGTGCCTGTTCCAATGATTTCTTCCACCCCGGGGGCTTTCTGACCCCCTGGCACCGCTGAGCTCAGTCAGGCTGATGCACCCCGTCCCTTGCTCCCCAATTCCTACATTCCTTTGATGTGTAGCGCTGGTCACTACCATACAGCCCTCCCTGATTCCCTCTATAGGGATCTTGACTTTAAACACCCCGAAAGACTGATGACCAAGTCAGGCGTATTTTGCCAACGTGTACTGGATGAACTCTCCCCTCTCAACTCCTGGTTTCCCTAAGCCCCCTGCACACACAGGAAGTGATAACCTTAATCAGCAACGGCCAATGTGCCAAAAGGCCTCTGGGTGCCTTTCAAAAAGCTGGCAACGTTCTCCCAAAAGCACAAAACACAGTTATTTAATATCGTTTTCAAAGCATGTGCCACAGCTAACCCGTGGTTTCATCGACAAAACTAGACAGTTTGATGGGTTAAACGCCAGCCTAACCTCGCTCCTAGCAGACCACTGTATGAAAGGCGCAAGAGCATTTTTAAGAAGCCCACGAATGTGGCCACATGTGCTACTGGAAACCACCAGGGGAAGGGTGCTGCCTGTAAAGAGCTGATATGACTCCGTATCTGAACAAAATCAACGAGATCAGACGTGTTGAACACAAACCTTTACTGTTTCCTTAATCTTCCGCACGATCTCATTCTGGAGGGACGGTTCGCAGAGAACATAGTCGGGAGCAATGCAGGTCTGACCGCAGTTCATGTACTTGCCCCACGCTATGCGCCTGAGGTGGGGAAACCAGAATAGCCATAAAAGCCAGCCTGCTATTCACTTGTGACACACTTTTGTAGTGGTTGAATATTTTGCAACTAGCATGTGTTCCCACATTGCCTTAATAGTCTTTATAAAGAAGTTAAATGTTGGGGGCGCCTGGGTGGCTCAGTCAGTGGAGCGTCCGACTTCGGCTCAGGTCATGATCTCGCGGTTCATGGGTTCGAGCCCCACGCTGGGCTCTGTGCTGACAGCTAGCTCAGAGCCTGGAGCCTGTTTCGGATTCTGTGTCGCCCTCTCTCTCTGTCCCTCCCCCGCTCACGCTCTGTCTCTTAATTCGGTCGGAACTTAAGAATGCATTTTCCAACCGACACAGAACGTGCTCAGGAGCAGGGTCATTCTCGTGCCAGCTTGAGTTCCACATAGACTCCACCTCCGGTTGTGGCTCTAGATGCTGTGGCAAGAGGTTCAGGTATAAAGCAGGACAGCAGCCCGCCTCCAAGACACCCTCACCTCTGCGGAGCCCCTCCCCGCTTGAAGAGCGGTGCTGCGAGCTCTCGCTGAGGGCCTCATGCTCTGGCAAGGAGACTGCTACGTACACAGGCAGCCTGGACGCGGCCTGCCTGCCTACGGGCCATCCTTGCCCGTCTCTGAAGGGGAGAGAAAAGCCACGCCCCACAACACGCAGTCCGTCCCAGGTTTCGGTGCTTTTGGTAGCTGAACCTGATTCAGCAGAGAGAATCTGCAACCTTTTGTTTTCCGGTTCCCAGCTACAAGATGATATTCTTTTTTCTTTATTTGAGAGACAGAGAGAGAGAGAGAGACAAGACAGAGAGAGAGGACAGAGAGAGAGAGAGAGGACACACACACAAATGGGACAGGGGGCAGAGAAAGAGGGGGAGAGAGAACCCCAAGCAGGCTCCATGCTTTCAGCGCAGAGCCATGTGTGGGGCTCGATCCCACAACTGTGAGATCACGACCTGAGCCGAAATCAAGAGTCAGACGCTTCACTGACGGATCCCCCACCAGGCGCCCCCGCAGGATGTTACTCTCAGTTAAAACACAAGCAGGAGTAATCCTGATTTTATCAGCTGAACTTAAGAAGCCAACAACCTCTCTGCAGGGAATCTCAGGGCTTAACGAGGCACACCCAACACTGTGTCTACCTCCTGGGCCGTCTACCAGCAGAACAGTTACATTTCCTGCCACTTTCCCCCGGTTCCTAAGGACGGCCACGCAACGTCCGGAACCCCTGCCCATCTCCTCTGGCCGTGGCTCCGACACGGCATGGGTACAAGTCCCGGTGCCTGGAGGACATCAACCGCCACGGCCTCCCGGGCTCTCCCAGAGCTGGGGGCGCGGGGTCTCGGTACCAAGGGGACACGTCCACCTGCCAAGTGGCCGGGAACCCCCAGGCAATCAGACAGCCTCACCTGCAGGCGGTGTCCAGGTCGCAATCTCTGTCCACGTAACACGGACTCTTCCCTCCTAGTTCAAGGGTCACGGGGGTCAGGTGCTTGGCGGCGGCCTCCATGACGATTTTCCCAACCGCGGTGCTGCCCGTGTACAGGATGTGGTCAAATCGCTGCTTCAGAAGCTCTGTGGTTTCCTGGACTCCGCCATTGATGACAACGTACAGGTCCTTCGAGAAGGAAGACCGCAAGCACTTAACGTGGCTACTCTAACCCCATCATCTAACGAGCAGTCGCTTCAGTGTAAACCTGTCGCCTTCAGGAACACAGGGAAAGATGCTGACCGCCCCCTGTGAGGACCGAAGAGGGAACTGACAGAGGACAAGTGCGGAACAGAGCCTGAGGGCATCTGAGAGCCACGAACCTGCGGCAGAACGGACCGGAGAGCTTGTTTTCCACACGAGCTCAGCAGTGTAGACACCAGAGAGAGCAAACGGTTGGATACGGCCCGGGAAATACAGGAGATGCGGGCTGTGCGAGCTGAAGGCTTTGGGGAAGAGTGTGCTGTCAGGGACCGCAGGACAGTCCCAATGGAAGGTCCTAACCTGAACGTTCTCGGCCGACCCAACAGTGCGGGGCCTCAGCCCGTGGCAGGAACCGAATAAACGTGTGCTGAATGGAGGGCATGCGAAGCGGTAGCGCGCAAGAGCGCTTACTTCTGAAGTCAGATCTGGACTGAATCTGGGCTCCGTCCCTCACCAGCTCCTGTGTGACCTCGGGCAACCTACTGAACGTCTCTGAGCCTCAGTCTCCTCACCTGTTACTAGGGAGAAGTCACACAGCTTTGGACTGCGGCTTTACGTGCACTGGGCTGTGATTAACATCTACTGTGAAGGAGTGCGTCTGGCCCAACAGCTTGGGAGCAAAGACAGAGAAGGGACGGCAAGAAGGACACAGAGTCAGATGTTCAAAAGATCCTGAGATACGGTTATGAAATAAAAGGTGGCTTGTGGGAGCGCCTGGGCGGCTCAGTCGGTAAAGCATCGGACTCGTGATTTCAACTCTAGTCAATTTCAGTTTGTGAGTTCGAGCCCTGCATGGGGCTCTGTGCTGGCAGTGCGGAGCCTGCTTGGAATTTGGGATTCTCTCTCTTGCTCTCTCTCTGCCCTTCCCCCTGCTTGTGCTTGCTTTCTCTCAAAATAAACATATTTTTTAAAGGTGGTGGGGGCGCCTGGGTGGCTCAGTCGGTTAAGCATCTGACTTTAGCTCAGGCCATGATCTCACAGCTCTTGAGTTCGAGCCCCGAGTCAGGCTCTGTGCTGCCAGCTCAGAGCCTGGAGCCTACTTCCGACTCTGTCTCCCTCTCTCTCTGACCCTCCCCTGCTGGCGCTCTATTGGTCTCTCAAAAATGAATAAAGATTAAAAAAACTTTAACAAATATTTTTTTTTAATGTTTATGTATTTATTTTGGGAGAGAGAGAGGCAGAGAGAGTCCCAAGCACCCTCCACACCCAGGGCAGAGCTTGATACGGAGTTCGAACCCACGAACCTAGAGATCACACCCGGAGCAGAAATCAAGTCAATGGCTTAACAGACTGGGCCACCCAGGTGGCCCTCAAGCTCGGACATTTTAAAAGTTGCCCTTCAGTGACAGCTGGATGAGGGCTCTGCCCCATGGCGACCGGCATCCGCGACACGCACCAGCAGGGGGATCAGATGTGCGCCCCTCCCCCGCCGTGAGCAGCCATGCTGAAGATGAGTTAAGACGTGGTTACCTGGTCTAAGTACTGTGGCAGGAGTTTGGCCAAAGCCTTGGCTGTTTTTTCACATAGTTCAGAAGGCTTGATAATAACAGCATTTCCTAAACAAGGCAAAAAAGCAGGACAGCGCCATTTAATACCCGAGTAACCTTAATACCTAAACCAGGTACTCCAGTGACTCATGTGGCTCCGAATTCTCTTGCGTGCAGCGAGCACCCGAGCTTGTCTCACTCCCTCAGACTCTCATTACCTCCGCGTCCCTGACGATGGGCTCCACCTTGCTCCCTGGCTGTCCCAGCTCTTCTCCCGGGCTCCTCCCACCCGCCCTACTAGACTTTCCTGCTGGGCTTGGAATTATTGGGCAACCAGGCCTCATCACCATAAAGCTGTCAGCCTGGATCCAGCCACCGTGAGAAAGGAACCCCTTGGCATGTGTCGTGTACTCCAGCCCACGATACTCCCGCAGCCCACTTGCAGATGAGGAAACCGCTCAGACTGAATCCAATGGGTCATCCAAGGCCTCAGCCAGCAAGGGACACCACACCATGGCCGGCAAGTTTGGGTGTCTGACTCCAAACTCCTGGGCCCGTCAACTCTCGACTTTGGACCCTCACGGGTTCACTTTCCGGGTATTTAAAAAAAAAAAAAAAACACCAAAAAGGGAAAAACAACACCAAGAAACAGTTACCGTGCAAATCTCTGGAGCCCATTTAAANTTAAAAAAAAAAAAAAAACACCAAAAAGGGAAAAACAACACCAAGAAACAGTTACCGTGCAAATCTCTGGAGCCCATTTAAAAAATAATAATAGGGACGCCTGGGTGGTTCAGTCAACTGAGCATCCGACTTTGGCTCAGGATATGATCTCGCGGTTTGTGAGTTTGAGCCCTGTGTCGGGCTCTGTGTTGACAGCTCAGAGCCTGGAGCCTGCTTTGGATTGTGTCTCCCCCTTTCTCTGCCCCTCCCCTGCTCATGGTCATGCTCTGTCTCTCAATAATAAATAAACAGTAAAAAAAATTTTTTTTATTTATAATAACAGAAAGGTGGCTGGCTGGCTCAGTCGGTAGACAGTGCGACTCTTGATCTTAGGGTTGTGAGCCTGAGCCTCATGTTGGGTGTAGAGATTACTTAAAAAAGAATCCTTTAGGGCACCTGGATGGCTCAGTCAATTCAACCTCCGACTTCAGCTCAGGTCATGATCTCACCGTTCATGAGTTGGAGCCCCGCGTCGGGCTCTGTGCTGACACCTCAGGGCCTGAAGCCTATTTCAGATTCTCTGTCTCCCCCTCTCTAACCCTAACCGCCCACCCACACTGTCTGTCTCTCTTTCTCTCTCTCTCTCAAAAATAAACATTAAAGGGGCGCCTGGGTGGCTTAGTCGGTTAAGCGTCCGACTTTCGCTTAGGTCATGATCTCGCGGTTCGTGGGTTCGAGCCCTGCGTCAGGCTCTGTGCTGACTGCCAGCTCAGAGCCTGGAGCCTGTTTCGGAGTCTGTCACTCCCTCTCTCTGACCCTTCCCTGCTCACACTGTCTCTCTCTGTCTCCTAGAAATAAATAAAACATTTTTAAAAAATAAAATAAACATTAAAAAAAAGTTTAAAGAAAGTAAAATCCTTTTGTACGATACAGCTCGCCTCAGCCCAGAGACACCCAATAATACCCAATCCCAAAACAACCCAGGGCTGGTGCCACCTCGTGGAACCTGCTCGCTCTCCCACCTTGAGAGTGTAGTTTCGCTTTAATAAACCGCTTTGCGCTTGCTAAGAAATATTTAATAATGATATTTGCTAATTCTCGGTTCACTGCTGGTGTAAACCAAGGCTAACCACCAAAGCAAACTCATGCCATTAACTGACCACTCTCCTCAGTTTACAGCCCAGGAGAGAATAAGCCCCTCCACAAGGCCACGGAGAGAGAAGCGGACGCCAGACCTGCAGCGATGGCTCCTATCAGGGGCTGCATGGTGAGAACGAAAGGGTAGTTCCAGGCTCCGATAATCAGCACGACTCCCAGGGGCTCCGGCTGAACGTAGGCCTCATCCAGCATGGTGAACAGGTTCTTCTTGGCTGGTTTGGCGGTGACCCATTCAGGAAGGTTCTCCAGTACGAGATCGAGTTCCCCGAGAACGGTAATGACTTCCTGACTGTATGCATTGAACTCACTCTGCGATGAGAGGATGACAGTTAACCTTGCATGACTGTGACACTCTCAGCCCTGAATGCCAAGGGCTAGGCCACAGACACCTGCCGTGACAAATGGCTTCAGCAGACAGCCTGGTTTGCCATTCAGATTCCATTCGCACCCTTCAGGGGCTCAGTGAGGATCTGCTAACTCCCTCATGAATATATTCAACCCCTCTAACTCCTTCTTTCCTGATCCAAGCCTTTTAAAGTCAGGATTAAACACTGTGTCATTCAGGAACACTTCCCGGATCAATATTAGCCTGCCTGGTTCACACTTTATAAGCCAATTATGCTTCCGATGTAGATCTTAATACCCTCATACACTTATTTATAACTACTCACATTGTATCTGTGTTTGTTTTGTCTCTAAATCCTTCAAGGGCTAAGAACTTACTGTGGATATCTTTAGGAACCCTACATACACATGTACATAAGTAACCGGTGCTTAGAGAAAGGCTGATTCATCTTTTTGGAAATCTTAATTATGTCACCTTGTTTATTGGATAGAACAGCCTCCCCTGTCTGCCAAAAGTACTAGAAAGGAAGTTTCTGCAGTTACTGCTACTCCTGATGATACGACCCCTCAAAATCATCTTTGGGGGAAGTGAGAGAGACCCCCAGAGCCAGAGCATGGTCTGGTTGCCCCTAGAATTAGATAAAATTGTAAAAGCAAGATGACAACAATATTAGAAAATATAGAGCGACATATCTGCACCCTAAACACTACCCAAAACCTTGCAAACTCGAAGACTGGTTCCAGGTCTTCTCATGAAGGTGGGGGAGGGGGATCCTGAGGCTTCCCTCCCCCCAAGGACACTCCCAGGCTGCAAGTGCCTACAGTAACTCTCTGAGAATGACGCAAGGACCCACAGGACACGTCGTCCACAGCTAAAGTCATAAAAAAAAATGCGACACGGAGCACGAGGGGCAGAGACGTGGCCTAGTTGGAACCCACACCCTGGAACCAGGGCCCCACACTCAACAAGGTGATCACAGGCGTGGAGAGCCTCCCAGAAGGGGGAGGGCTTCAAGCCACACTCAGGTGTCCCCGCCCTGGGGACCTGCACCGGCAGGACAGCAGGACGACAAGCCTCTCTAACTCTGGCTTTGAAAATCAGTGGGGCTTCACTGGGGCTTCACTGGGACGGAGATGGGGTTGGACAGGAAACCGAGACTTGGCTGCACGCAAACTCGCTCCATCTGAGACCCAGACTTGGTGGCCTGAAAAGCGCCTGGGCCATCCGTGCCGGAGACTTAGGGACTGATCCTAAGGCGCGGAGACTATTAAACATAGAAATGCCACAAAACCCAGGAATTCCACTGCTGGGGATTTAGCCAAAGCAAATGAAAACACGAATGCAAAGTGATCTGTGAACCTGTGTGTTTGCTGCATTAGTTACAACAGCCACACTATGAAAGTGACCTGACAAACAGGTAAAGGAAATGCGGATCGCGCACACACACGCGCACAGACACGCGCACAGACACACACACACACACCCCTATGTATAATGGAGTACTGCTCGGCCGTAACAAAAAAAAAACCATGAAATCTTGTCATTTGTTACAATATGGATGGACCTAGAGAATATTCTACTAAGCGAAATAAGCTATACTGTGCACCTGTGTTGCCTACCTGAAATTAATACTGTATACCAACTGTACTTCAATTAACAAAAAATAAAATTTAAAAAAAAGTGTACCGAGTTCCCAAACAGGCAGCACGTACCACCTTGGAGCTTGTTAGCCTCCAGGTGAACCATAACGTGCATTTTAACAGGATCCCCGGACGACTCCCCAGCACGCCAAGGGTTTGAGGAACACTGGCCTAACACAAGGCAAGGAGAAAAATTTCAGTGCAACAACGACAACCAAACAACCTCTGTCTATAAAAAAATCATAAAAACATTAAAAAAAAAAAAGGAGAAAGAAAGAAAGAAAAAACAGACCCGGAGAAAAACATACGCAATGCATCACGCTGCCAAATTACCACAGTCCACGCTATACAAAGGAGTCGTACAAATAATCAAGGACTGTAAGTGCAACAGGAAAACGGGCAAAAACATAAAAGGCCATTCACAAAAGAGGGACAGAGGCCAGAAGACACAGGTGTCTGTTTCTCTGTATCTGCAATCACTCGCAAGAGGCACTGACGAAGCAAGATCAAGAAGATGGGCAAAGTCCACGGGAATTTGCTTTATCACGACTGCTGGAGATAAGACTCCCACAGCGCTTGCATAATCAAAAATAAATTAAACAAACAAACAAAAGCCAAGGTTCGGGCGCAATGCGGTTCCCCAGCGGGACGGCGGGAGGCGGCTGTCCCCGCTCCGCCCGCCGGGCGCGTACCTTGCACAGGTCGGCGGCGATGGCCTCCAGGATGTCCTTCTCGCGTTCCTGCACCATCCTGCGCAGCGCCTCGAGCTGCTGCAGCCGGAACCTCAGGGGGCGCGACCGGCCCGACGCGAACGCTTCGCGAACCTGCTGGACCTTGCTCTCCATGGCCTCGTCCTAATGAGAGAGGAGAGGTCGGGCGGCGCCGCGGGGGCGTGATGCCGCGGGCGGACGCCGCCCCCCTCCCGGCCCGCCCCGCGACCCCCTGCGCCGCGTTCGAAGCCCTCCGTCGCTCACCCGCCGGCCGGCTCGCTCGCTCCGCACCGTGCTCCGCACCCCCCGGGTCCCACTGTCCCACAGCGGCGGGGCGGGGCCGAGCTGGACCGGCAGCCGCGCGCCGATTGGCCGGCGCGCGCCACGTGACCCCGGCGGGCCGGACGCCGCTCGCGGGATCTGGCCCGGGGGTGGGGGCTTCGGCCGTGCGGGGCCGGGGGCGGGGCGCGGCGTCGGGCCGCGGGAGCGGCGAGGGGGCTTCCCGCGCGTCACGGGGAGTGCCCGGAAGTGGGGCGAGCGGCCGAGCGCCCGGGAGAGCCCGGCGCGGCGCACGAACGCGCAGCCCACGCGCCTCGGCGCTTTCGCCTCCGCTTTTCCCCCTCGCCTCCATTTTGTGGCTCTCAGAGACGGCCGCGCGGACCGGGGCGGGGGCCGGGCCCCTCGGCGTCCGCGGAGACGGGGCGCCAGCACCCCGCGCCGCCTTAGCGCTCCGGTCCCCGAGGCCGCCGCCCGGGGAGGTGGCGCGGCACCGCCCGCCCCCTCGGCCCCGGCCCTGCTGTTCGCTGCCCCGGCCGTGCGCTGCGAGGACGGGTTTGCAGAATGCCCTCCGACCGTAGTCCCCGGAGGGCAGGAAGCCAGGCTCCGGTCCACGCCGGCGAGGTGCGACCGTCGTCACCGCCCCTCCTCCAAGAACGCAGCCCCTCGGCTGCCTATCCCCCTCCCCTCCCCCCTCTTCCCGTTTTTCTGTTCCCCGGTGCCGCGGCACTGCCCCAGAGAGGGAACCCGCGCCACTCGGTTTGCCTCCCCACCCGCTGGGTGCCAAACCCAGTGAGTAATCCTCAGCCCCCGTCTAACTCGGCTCGGCGACGGCTGGCACAGCCGAGCGTTGCCATCTTCTGGAGACCCTGGCTTGGCTGGTTTGCCGTCCCCCCTTGCACTCTTCTGGTTTTCTTTTCGCCTTCCTGGCTGAGGCCTCTGGGTTTTGTTTTGCTGAACCAGTCCTTGGACCTCTCCCCTTTCCAGAGTTCCAACCTACTGGTCTAAGCCTAAAGGATGGCGGTCAGAGACGGCTCTCCGTTCCATCCCTGGTCCCACCCGTTCAGCCAGACCCCAAGGGCTGTGTTCAGCTACACCTTATTCATCTCTGAATTGATAAAGGGCATCTGCAGTTAACTTTAATGAGAACTTTTGATTTACCCTCATCCACCAAATACAGGGCACGCCCCTCCCTCCGGGTTCCCCGTCTCAATAAATGGTACGTCCTGTATCCCGTTTCCTGGGGCCAAAGTCTTTGCAATCATTCTCGACTCCTCTTTGACCCTATCTTCCAAATGTATGGTGACTCCAACCACTTTTACCCTAGTCCGAGCCGTGTCCTGTCACCTGCGCCGTGTATAAAGTGCCAGCATCCCACTGGATTCCCAGCTTCCACTCTCGGTTCTCGGTATAGATGTCCTTTCTCGTCTCTACCCTTGCCGTTGACACTCTGTACCACAGGGGCCCAGAGTGTAGGAAAATCTGTTACTCTTAAAATTCCCTCTGCCTGAAATAGAGTGGTTTCTCTCTTTGCATGGCTAGACCCTGGCTGACACGCTTCCATACATACAGCCTTTTACGCACAGCCTTTTCTCCACCGAGCCGTCCGCGAGCCTTTCCGAAGGTATCCTGACTGTGTTAGCTTCCTGCTCAAAACTTTGTAATGGCTTACCGTGATATTTAGAACAGAATCCAAACTCATGCTGTATTCTACGATCCCTATATGTTCTGGCTTCTGGCCCCTTTTCCAGCCTCACTGTGTATGATTCTCCCTCCCATTTAATGGGAGTGATTTCCTCACTGTTCTTGGAACACTTAGCACTTCTACCCTAAGGGCTTTTGCAGTTGGCTGTTTTCTTTGCCTTGCTGCTCAACTAACTTTCTCAATTAATTTAATCTCTGCTGAAAAGTTACCTCCTTAAAGAACCCTTCACTGACCGCCATGCCTAAAATAGCGGGCTGTACTTCTCTGTCCCTCATCTTGTTTTAGTTTGTTTCCATCTATCTTCCCCTGCTGGGATGTCTTACAAGTCAGGGACTTTGTCTTTCATATTTATTGTTTTTTTTTTTAATGTCTTTATTTTATTTTGAGAGACAGAGATTGTGCGGGGGAGGGGCAGAGAGAGAGGGAGACAGAATCTGAAGCACGTGCTGTCAGCACAGAGCCCGACGCGGGACTCGAAGCCATGAACAGCGAGATCATGACCTGAGCCGAAGTTGGACGTTTAACTGACTGAGCCACCCAGGCACCCCTTATGTTTACTGTTAATATTAGCATCTACTGTAGAACATGGCCACGAGTTGGTGTTCAGTAAATAATTATTGAATGAATGAATGATACACTGTCAAATACTCTAGTCTCAGTGTCTTGGCACTGTCCACGTTTGTGACTTAACAGGTCACGAAACTTGAGGCTTGTTTAGGGGCGCCTGGGTGGCCCGGCTAAGTGTCTGACTCTTGATTTCAGCTCAGGTCATGATCTCTGGGTCCGTGGGATCGAGCCCTTCATCGGGTTCTGTGCTGACTGTGTGGAGCCTGCGTGGGATTCTCTCTGTCCCTCTCTCTGTCCCTTCCCCTGCTCACTCGCTCTCAAAATAAATAAACTTGAAAACTTGAAGCTTTTTAAAAGAGATTCGCAGGGAAAGAAGGAAGTTGACATGACAATCAAACTCTTCTCCTCTACTTCTCCCTTGCCTTGTTTTGGTAAAAAGAAAAGAAAGAGAAAAAAGGGGGAGGGACAGATACCATGGTTAAAGGGGAAATCGCAGGTGATCACGCTTCTTTATAGTTTCTTAACACATACCTAGTCATTAAACTGACTCCATAACTAACAGTTGTTTGTGAACGGCAGGCCCACCATCTAATGTCAATATTTAGAACTGTGGAGCAATGTTTGAATTAGCTCAAAGTTCACCACGGAGGACCCGATTATCTTTTTGATCATATCTGAGTGGCCATTTTTAAACTCTCAGCTATACTAATCCTTATGTAAGGGACTAGGTCAATTGAAATGCAAATCTTGCCACAATTTAAAATAAAATGCAAATAAAGAACATACTTCCACCATGAAGACAGAATGGAAACCAGAACCATCTAAGGCAAATTCATCTCTAAGCACAAAGAGCTGCTTCTGCTGAGGATAAGAGGTGAGGGTGTCTTTAAAAGAATCTGCTCTCATGATAGCTTGACTCTTTACCAACGCGAACAATTTCTTTATTCGCTGGAAAAATCAACGGCATTTTGTTGGGCGCATTTAAAAATCACATCCGGGGCGCCTGGGTGGCTCAGTCGGTTGAGCGTCCGACTTTGGTTCAGGTCATGATCTCCTGGTTCGTGGGTTCAAGCCCCATGTCGGGCTCTGTGCTGACAGCTAGCTCAGAGCCTGGAGCCTGTTTCAGAGTCTGTATCTCCCTCTCTCTCTGACCCTCCCCTGTTCACGCTGTCTCTCTCTCTCAGAAATAAATTTAAAAACTTAAAAAAAAAAAAAGAGACATGCCTGCCTCTCTCTCTCCCTTTCTTTTTTCTTCTCTCTTTCTTTTTTTCTTTCTTTTACTCTTTCTTTTTTTCTTTCTTCTCTCTTTCTTTCTTCCTTTCTTCTTTTTCTTCTTTCTTTCTTTCTCCTCCCTCCCTCCCTTCCTTCCAATCTCTACACCCAATGTGGGATTCGAACTCACAACTCCAAGATCAAGAGTCACATGCCCTACCGATTAAACCAGCCAGGCAGCCCCCACCCCTTTCCCCCATGGGATCACCAGCTACTTTGTTGGCACTCTGAGGGAAACGACTTGCTGAGAAGAAAGCTAAACACAGAGAAAGGCAGACCTCAGAGACAGGGTCTTGATAAGATTTTTTGCAGCTCGTAAGGCTTGGAGCTAAAAGTACATCTGTGAAGATGTTTCATAAGCCAATAAATTGCCACATGCTATGGACCCGAAGTTTGAATTGAATTTTTCCCACTTGGTACCAAAAGAGACTTAATATAGAAACCCTTGCTACAGGGGCGCCTGGGTGGCTTAGTCGGTTAAGCGTCCCACTTTCGCTTAGGTCATGATCTCGCGGTTCGTGGGTTCGAGCCCTGCGTCAGGCTCTGTGCTGACTGCCAGCTCAGAGCCTGGAGCCTATTTCAGAGTCTGTATCTCTCTCTCTCTCTGACCCTCCCCTGCTCACGCTGTCTCTCTCTCCTAGAAATAAATAAAAATATTAAAAAAAAAAAAAAAAAGAAACCCTTGCTACACTTCACTTAATTCTGTCTTCCTCCGATTAATTCCACTACGGGATAAAAGGAGTTAAAAGATCTTAAAAGTGTGAAAATACATGTAAGCAGTCAATATACTCCTTGCAGGAGATACTCCAAATCATCCAATTTCTAGGAATCCAAATTGGAACCAGAAGGGAGAAGTTCTGGGCATATACTCACAACCTTAGGCCCCCTGAGGTTGAAAGATTAAGGGTGTTTATTTCACTTTTGCCTTTATGAAAACTCTCCCTGGGGCTCCTGGGTAGCTCAGTCAGTCAAGTGTCCGACTCTTGATTTCGGCTCAGGTCATGATCTCACAGTTTATGAGATCAAGCCTTGAGTCAGGCTCTGCACTTATGGCTTGGGATTCTCTCTCTCCCTCTTTCTCTGTCCCTCCTCAGCTGTGCACATACTCTCTCTCTCAAAAAAAAATTTAAAAACTTTAAAAAATGACAAATGAACTACTCTGGTGGATGTGTGGTGGCATCTAATTTGAGATTACCTTGCATTTTTCTGCTAATGGTGGTGGGCATATTTTCCTATGTTTATTGGATATTTGCATGTATTTCCATAACAGGGAACAAACAAGATTTTGTGAGAGGCGTTTAAGACAACAAATCTTCACTGAAGCCTCACTGTCCGACCTGTCTGAACACCACACTCCTCCTCAGCGAATGCTTGCCTGGTACAGCTGTTAGTGTCCACAGATCAGTCATTGGAAAGAACAATTGTAGGACCCATCCACAGACACTATTCACATGCACATGCACACACACACACACACACACAGAGGCACGCACACACACACCCACACACCTCTAAGGAAGTAGAGATTAAAACCTGATACA